TATCTAACTCTGGTACATGTTCAACTCATATGCCTGTCTTGTTTGGCTGGAAGCCACAGGTGTGGGTTCAATTCCAGACCTGAAGGGCAGCTAGGGACCATAGTCTCAGTGGTTCCACCAGGCTCTATCAGACCAGCAAACCTGGTCCGCCTTTTTTTTTTCCAAATGATTTTGAGTTTTGTTCCACCTTATTCTCCCTCTCTATCCAGGATCTCCTCCATAGATCTCCCCCTGAATGGTTGACAATGGTAGCCGGGCACCATCTAGTTCTTCTCATCTCAAAGTCATATAGGCTGAGGCTCGCATGGTGTACCGGTCATGAGGACTAATTATTTCCATGAATCTTTGGTTTTCTTCATTCTTCTTTGCTCTGGACGAGGAGAGACCCATCGTTGCATCTAGATGGCTGCTTGCAAGCTTTTAAGATCCTAGTCACTACTCATCAAAGTAGGAGGTAGAACAATGTTTTGTGTAGTATGTTATGCCGATTGAGTTTGATGTCCCCTGCGACTATGGTCCTGAGCCCACAAGTTCAACTACTCACTCCCTCTGGGTAGCTGGCTGTGACCAAGAAGTGACTACAACCTTGTCCTTTGTCAGCTCTACTATACCCCTGGGAATTCTTACAGAACATACAAATACACTTGTAGAACCATTGTCTGCCAACCCTATACCTGGTCTTGGGTACACTCCCTGTCTCTAGCTCTTTTGCAGGGTCTCTAAGAGCAGCTAACTCTAACAGCCTGCTAATCTGGGTGGTACAGAAAGATTGGGGCAGGACAGACTAGGATCCCTCCTCTTCCCTAGAAAGATGCCTTTACTCTGGGCTGGGGCTACAGAGCCAAGTGGAGATAAAGGAAGAATGTACTCAGTCAGAAATTCCTAGATTATCAGAGCTAGAAGGGACATTGGAAACTTTCTAACTTTACATATTGGTGAACTGAGGCCCAGGGAAGGGAAGGAGCTGGGCAGAAATGAGGACAGGAGGCTCATTCTTAAGGTTCCTATTGCTTGGTGTGCTGCTCAGGGCTTGTCTATGACTGGGAAGAGCAGTGGGCTTTAGAGAAGGTAGGGCTGAGGTCTCGGTGGACACACATACCAAACTGCCAGGGACTCCGCACTCTCCAGCCTTCGCGAAGCTCTCCCCAGGATCCATAACTGCAGCATATGCCCCCTTGCCAGGAGGAGAAACTGCACAGTTGCCTGTTGCCTCGGCCCCACCAGCCTGCAACAAGTCCAGACATACTCAGGCAAGGCTAGGGGAGGCCGGTGGTAGGGTAAGAATGGGGGAGCAGCATGCATGGGGATTCTGGGGAGGAGCTGAGGGTGCCTTGGAAAGGACATCAGGCATTATCCCAGGAGATATGGGTGAGTTTGTATAGGAGCAGTAAGGATGCTCCAAGAGACAGGTAAAAGGTGTCACCTATGTTGATGTGCTGGAATCTTAAGTCCCATCTTCCTTGCTGCCAGGAACAAGGACAGGAGATCTGGTTCCAGCCCCGGTTGGGCCAGTAAGACTGTCTCTTCAACCACTGCAGGCACTTGAGACGGTAGTTGGGCCTTTCTTCTCTGTGTAGCATGTAGATCTGCAGTCCCTGAAGATCTAGGGGAGCAAGAGAAGTAGGGGTCATCACAGGATATGGACTGTAGGCTCATTTTTAGATTTTGGGACAACCACAACTCAAAAATGCACCTACACACCTTCTCTGGGCAACTCTTGCAGGGATGGTTTGACCCAGTACAGACTGGTAGTGATTCCTCTCCAGAACCCCCTTGATATGAACTCTAAAAACCCTCAGAGCTTGGATCTTAGACAAAACCTGGGACAAGTACAGGGCAGGAAGGCCTCAGCTGCACCCAACCCAGAACCAAACACTGGCTTTGACCCTCAGTCTACCCATCTTCCACCGTCCTGTCCTATTACTCTAAATTCCAGCACCTTCTAATTCCCCAAACCTGTTCCTTCCCAGGTACTCTTTCTCAACCAGTGACACTGCTGAGCATCCAGTCGCTCCATCAGACATTTCCTTCACCTTCCTCAACCCCCAGCACAGACTCTTTAGTGGCCAAAATAGCTAGGGAAAAGCTGATGCCCAGCTAGGGAGCCACAGAAAAGGTCAGCATGCAACATAGGGGCTTGCTCCAACGCTACAAGACTGAGTAAGCTGTTTCCTGTGTCCAGATATCATCTTTGGGAGGGAGAACTAACTGGGAAAAGAAACCCTAATGGGGGTTTGAGATTTTGCTAGACCTTTAGTTGGTTGTAAACTTACATATTGCCTACCCCAGCTGCCATGGGTGAGAAAGGGGACACCCAAGCCTAATAAGCTAAGTTACAGAATATTATGTATTAGGTTTTGATCCTATTTTTACCCACACAGATGCATAAATTACCAAGATAAATATAATTTGTTAAGGTTTTGAGAAGAATAATCATTGTTTTTAATTTTCTCTGCAATGACCTGGTATCAGGGGAAACACATATATATGCTCACTCAACACATACACACACATACACACAAACATGGCACACCCATGCACACACACACAGTCTTGATTCTACCCCTAGCTCACAGCATCTTGATAGAAGGGTATAATCTGACACATTTGGAAGGAAGGTTGGGCAATCTACTTCCGTAGTGATACTGCCTTGAAACCCAAGGAGGGGTCGCTATGAGTCGGGTCCAATTCGATGGCATATAACAACAACAATCTGACACACAGCTCTCTCCACAAGATGGCAGCCATGATTTGACTTGGTTTGTATTTCTGATTACCAAGAACTGGACTTGGGTTTCACAATTTATGTGCATGATTTCCAATGTTAAAATGTCCTTTGTTCTATTACATTTTGAAAACTATAAGTTCTTTCCATTTGTGGCTTCAGGTAATTACATTGAATCATGGAGGGGTAACATAGTTTGTCTCCTGATACCTATATACTGGCCTCCTTTTCAGATGGTGAGCTCTTTGAGAGCAAACTTAGTGGATCATTTTCCTTTCTTTCAAATTCCTGGCTCTTAGGGCACACAGTACGTACTCAATAAATGAGTCAATGTCAGACCTCTAGAACTCTTTGGTAGATCTCCTTAAGGGCTCTCATCTGATTCTCATCTCATCTCTGGGATAGGATACTTGGGGTGTTGTTCTAACTGTCCATTTATATCCCCACATCCCACAATACTCCTGTCCTCACTTCTAGGATCCTCACTGAAAGATCTCTTGGGTTTGGCTCATCCTGGGCAAGAGATGTAGGCTGCTATGAGACTGCACTATGTCTGAAGGTGCAAAATGTAGCAGCTGCTCTCTGGTCAATACCAAGTTCTGATTTCGCCTATAGGAGATTGGACTATGCTGGTGACACCCTTAGGAACTGTGGACATATTAGGGAGCTGCCCTCTAGGACTGCCATGACATATGGAGTGGAAGACAAAAGAGAACTTGAGACCAGTGCAAGTAAGAGAAGGTCATGCTTTTACCTGAGTTGAAATTCAAGAATTGGTCTGGACGATACTTCTCCCACACTGGCCGGAATGTCAGTGGGCTGTTTTGGAAATACCCATCTCCACTGCAGGCAAAGGAAAGAATCTCAGGTCTATGTCACACATAGGGAATTCTTTTTCAGCCAAGAAGTTCTTCCTTCCTTCCTTCTTTCTTTCCTTCCTTCCTTCCCTTACTCACTCAGTGCAGCTAGTCATCAGCTGATCAGTTAATTATTCAGTTAGCCAGTCTGTCAACTAGTCAGTCAGTTTGTTGGCTGATCAGCCAGTCAGAATCACTGAATTCTACTAATAAGCAAGAGAGAAGAACTATACAAAATGGGAATGGGGAGGCTCCAATTTATTCCACATCTGGTTGCTAACTACAAGAAGCTGCCAGTTCCACTTGGTCATGAGACAGGGGTATAAAAATAAGAGTCCAGGTCTCCTTCCACTGGTTTCCCTTAAACTAGAAATTTATGGGACTCCTTGGGTGGTACAAATGGTTAATGTACTTGGCTGCTAACTAAAAGGTTGGAGGTTTGAGTCCATCCAGAGGCACCTTGGAAGAAAGACCTGGCAATCTACTTCAGAAAAAGCAGCCACTGAAAACCATATAGAGAGAACACAGTTCCACTCTGATACACATTGGGTTGCCATAAGTCAGAGTTGACTATCCAGCAACTGTTTTTAAAGGTTTTGGGAGGGGGCTCTGTAGGAAATAGTATGTTGTGACGGTGAGGGTCTGACCTATGGAGTTAAGCAGTCAGAGGTTCAACTCCTGATTCCAGCACTTATTAGTTTGGTTACAATGGGCAAGTTACTTAACCTCTGTCATTCTTAGTTTTCTCATCTGTGTAAAACTAATTATAGCAGCATCTACCTCATAGTAGTGTGAGGATTAACTGTAGTAACATTTGTAAATCCCTCAAAACCAAGTAAGTATCCATTGAATAAAACCGTCACCATTACCATCACCATCACCATCCTCAGTTTTAGTGTTTGAAGCACTGCTCTAAAGAGGAGGAAAAGCTGGAAAGGCAGCCTTCAGCCGTAGTCTGGGTGCTTTGCCTCAGAGCAGACTCCAGTAGTCTCTTTCCTCTAACACAGCAATGGATGACTGTGCACATGCATGACACCTCGCTTGGGCATATACAAACCAAAAAGCCAAACCCACTGCCATCGAGTTGGATCTGACTCATAGTGACCTCTCCTTGGGTGGTATCACTATGGAAGTAGATTGCCCAACCTTCCTTCTGAGGAGTGGCTGGTTGGTTTGAACCACCAGCTTTCTGGTTAGCAGTCAAATGCCTTAGGCACTATGTCACCAGAGCTCCCAATGGTAGTGTGAAATTCCTAGCTGGTTGAATAACTCCACTCCTTTCTCCACAATGCATCAAAATATAAGTGAAAGCAATGTAATTGTAGTGGCAATCCTGAACACTCTAATTTAAGAGAAAATCATTTGCATCAATTACCAGTAATAAATTACATGTGACTCCTTCACAACTGATTGCCACATACCAGCAGTTGGAGACACCATGGTTCAAATCTATGCAGAAGCACCTTGGAAAAAAGTTGCAATCAACTTGCAAAATATCAGCCATTGAAAATTCTATTGAACACAGTTCTACTCTGATACCCATGGGGTCATCATAAGTTGGGGTCAACTCGAAGGCAATTGGTTGTTTTTGTTTTAGTTTGAACAGTGCAACATGTGGGTGCCTTGGGAACTTGAGTCAGCTTGAGTAAAAAGCACCAGCAAAGAGGATTCATGCCTTGTCCTAAAGGATGAGTGTGTGTGTGTGTAGAGAAAACTCTGCTCTATACTACTTCATATTATTTGGGCAGTGCTAACAGCCCCTCCCATCGTACCTGGAGAAGCCCATGAAGACAGAGTTGCCTGGGCGCTGGGTAGCATCCCACTTCATGCCACCGCTTTGGTAGAGAAACAAGGCATAGGATCTGCTCCCATCCGTGGTGAGGATGGCCTGGTAGGTGTTGGTCTAGGGATTGGTTGAAGACAAATGTAGGGATGCCTGTGAGAGATCTGGGATCTCTGCCCTTATGCCCCACCATACACTTCACACCACTGCCCAATACACACATCATCTGTTCCTGGTTCATCCAGAGTAAGTTTGGTATTGTTCAGGTCAGGGCAGCTTTTTCCCAGGGTGCCACAGCACCTAACATGGTAGATTTTCGTTCTTTGTGAGTTATTTCCAGGAAGAAGAGAGAAAGGGCTCTGGGTTACTATCAAGTCACAAGAGGGTTTGTGAGAGAATGCTACAGGAATCTAAGAGATTGCCCAAGACCAGAGAGCTGAGAGAGGTTTAATTAACCAGGAACTGGTTAATTAGGGAGCTCTGGTGGAGTAATGTCTAAGGCATTTGACTGCTAACCAGAAGGCTGGCAGTTCAAACCCATGAGCCACTCCTTGGAAGGAAGATTGGGCAATCTACTTCTGTAGAGATATTGCCTCAGAAACCCAAGGAAGGGTCACTATGAGTCGGGATTGACTCAATGGCAGTGCGTTTGTTCGTTTCTTTTGGTGTTGGGGATATTTAAGGACAATGTCCCAGTGTCTTGTCAACCCAAATGGTGTGGGAAGACATGCAGCAGGTGAAACTGGAGGTTCTTTGAAGACAGGGCCTGACTGGGTGCCAAGCGCTGTACTTTGTACAAAGTAGATAACCCACAGATTTTTGTTAAATGAATGCAAAAGCGAGTGACTTTAGACCAGATGAGGAAGAATGTTCTGACTGTAAGATTTGCTAGTCCCCAGAGAGACAACTAAGGAGTTTGTGTGGCATGTCCAACTTCTGTTGGGTGGCACTGTGGTTAAGAGCCAGTTTGGTGTTAGAAAAACTTTGGTTCTAGGCCTGGCTTTGCCATTTACTAGCTGGGTAACCTCAAGCAAGTTGCTTAATCTCTGTAACCGTCATCTTCCTCATCCCTGAAATTACAACCTGGATAATAACTTCAGGTTGAACCATAGGAAACTGCCAACAGACAGTAATTTTTTTATCTACAAAATTTCCATTTCCAGTTTCTACCTAATAATCCCTCTTGCACTGGGCTCCATGAGACAATGTGAGAGGGGGCTTGGGCAAGCCTGGCACCAAGTAAGTGCTCAGCATAGTGGTGGTGGTGTGGTGGTGGTAGTTGCTTTCATCAACAAGCTCTCAAGTCAGAGAGGATTTCTGAAGAGTGGCCTTTGCCTGAAACTCTAGGATGGCTGACCTGCAAAGGGTGCATAGGGAGCTGTCTTTCAGTTCACTCACCCCAAAGGTCCAGCGGGCGGGATAGGCAGGGACATTGACCCAGGTGATCTTTAGGGTCCACCTGGCTTTGTAGTACCAGGCGTTTGCAAACTTTTCAATCCGAGACTCCACTTGCCGGACTAGTGGGTAGTGTTCATCATAGAATGTCTTATATTCCTAGGAAAGGAAGGCAGACAAGGACAAAGGAGTGAGAGTGCCACCTCACCACCTCCGAGAGACCCTCACTTTCTGCATGTTGATTTTGCTCACCTCAGTCTATCCATATGGCCCATCCTTCCCTCTCTCAGGCCTGAATTTTCAGTCAGTATCTCTGACTTCAAGGTCAATTCAAATTTTGACTTCCAGAAAGTTGGGAATGTGTGGAATGGTAGGTCCAAGCCCAGAAATCCCAGCCAGTGCAGGGATAGCACAAACTGGCCCAGGTACTGTAAACCTCTTGTGCACATTTACTCTTGTGTCTAACTAGAGGCTCCTTGAGGACAGCCACCATGTTTCTCCACCTCTGGACCCTCTACAATGCCTTCTCCATGGCAGGTACACAATACACCTTTGCAGGAATAGCGTTATTAGTGCTTCCACTAACTGAAATTATTTACCCATTCCAGGAGCACTGGACTCAGACTTGGCAGAATATATTCCCCACAACTGTATTTTAAAATCAAATGCTGAATTGCAAACCCATCCCTGTCTTCTCATGATTTTATTTGGGTATTCTTGAGTCTCTGACAATTTCATATTCCTTATCTTCTTCCTCCTCTCCCCCTACAAATCACCTCCAGCCCTTCCTGTCCCTACATTTAACTTGGTAGTGCCCTGAGCTCAGGCCCTGGTAGTGTAGCACTTGGCACAGCCCCTTTGTCTCTCCTTGCTGGCTGCCAAGAGATCCCCAATGCCAGGCTTTGAAAGGTCCACCTGGTAAAATATGGTTCCTCTGTGGCCGGAGAAATCAGCATCATCCCAAAATGGAGCCACCAGGGCCAGAGGGTCCCAGCCTGTGAAGCCTCTATGGGGTGGATTGGGGTAGGAGAAAATCTGGTTGTCAGATTCGGGGAAAATGATCTGGCCATTATCTGTGAACTGAGCACAAGGGATGTCCTGGTTAGCATTTAGGCAGTGCAGCAGAAAACTTCCTAGTTTGGGGCCAGCTACTCAGGAATATGACCCCCAAGGATCTCTCTGGGTAGAATGTCAGAGATGCCAATAACTCCTGGGAGGTCATCTCAGCATCTCCCTGCCTTTGGGAAGAGACCCCTTCGCATTGTAATCTCTTCACCCTACTGACACTCTTCATGCCTAAATCCTTCATAAGACCACATGCTTTGTTCTGCTCCAGTGGTAAACAACCCTCACTCTCCCCCGCAACTATAGACCAGCCCTTTACACAGCCAACCTTCTTAGTAAACCCCATAAGCCCCATCTTGAAGCTTGTGCCACATAAGATGAAACTAAAAAGATTTATACTCTCACACCCTTTGCTATTTAGTCCCCTCTCATGTGCAGCCTGGCTAAGCCTCCCCTCACTGAGAGCAAGAGGGGCCAGGATTGTTTCCCAAGTATAGCTTCCTACTCCTAAAAAGGCCTAGTGAAAACAATGGAGAGCTTTATACTGGACAAACACACTTTTGTCCATACAAGTAGCAAGACCTTGCCTAGCTCCCTGTCTTCCTCAGCTAGCACTCTGACATTAAAGACTGTGCATGTCAATTGAGCCAGTGTCAGGGACACAGTACTGCTTATAAGTGAGGCTTCCATTCTCCCTTCTTCTTTCTCTAAGAGACACATGTGCTGGAGAGAGAAACAGGGCATATAGCTTGTGCTACAGCTGAGGACTCACGTAGAGGGAATCCCGGAGAGAGGAGCCAAAGGGGAACCCAATCTCGGGCTTGAAGAGTGGTGAGGTAAAGTCCACAGTTCTCTCAACAAGCTCCTGGTCTCCAAATCTGAACCCATAGGGGAAGAGGGAAACACCTGGGAAGTACAAAGAAAGGTAGAAAATCTTTATAGGCCTCTATTTTCTTTAGGACTGAAAGAGATACCTCGAGAGCTTCCCCCAAGCTGCTCCTCCATCCTCTATTCCTCAAGTGGCTCCAGCAGGTTCTAACTGGGAGCCACTTAGGACTCCTCTTTCTTCTCACCACTCACATTTAGCCCACCTCCTCATTTTACCCTCAAAATTGGTACTTTCATCCTTGAGAATCTCAACTCTGATTTGCAGAAAAACAGGTCCTGCTGTCAGAATACCAATTGTTCTGCATCTGCTATGGTAGTCACAATTTTTTTCTAAGAGTTGAATGATAAAAATTCTCTGATGTAGTGAAAATATATAAATGAAGTTTATATAAATAAATGAAAATACATAAATTAAATATATAAATTAAATTTCATGGAATGAGACTTGTTTCCTAAGTTGATATTTCTCTAGATAAATGAAGACTTCTATGATTTGTCCTCAGGGCACCTTGAGGGGCTTGGGCTACATTTTAAGAAACCTTGTCCTACATATTTCTCAGATAGATCCCCTCCTCTCCATACCTGCTGCCACGGACCATTTAGGCCCTCACCTGGTTTTACTTGGAATATTGCAGTAGCCAGACATACTGTTCTCCTGGCCTTCTCACTCATGCCCTGCAAACTCATTCTCCACACCAGCCACCACAGTGTTGTTGTTGCTAGTTGTCATTGAGACAATTCCAACTCATGGTGATCCCATGTATACAGAGAAGAACTGCTTCATAGGATTTTCAAGGCTTTTCAGAAACAGTTCACCAGGCCTCTCTTGTGACATGCCTCTGTATGGTTTTGAACAACCAACCTTTCAACTAGAAGTCAAGAGCTTACCATTTGCTCCCAGTTAGAGCCAGGGACACCACCATAGTACCCTTCATAAAATGCAAAGCTAACCATGCCCTTCCTGATTCCTATCACGTTCAGTACTCCTTCACACTCCAGCCTTACTTCTTACCACTCCTAACCTTTACTTCCTGCAACTCCAAATGCATTGAGGGTCTCCTCCTCCTGTAAGATCGTAGACTACTTTCCACTTCCATACCTTTGTTCTCATTGGTCAGGCTTCCCCTCTGCCTGGAGTACTTCCCCTCCCCCAGATTCTATTCACTCTTGTCAGGAAGCCCCTATTTCACCTTAAACCTACCCTTGCATGCCTTAAGTGCCTGTCATTGTGTGTGCTTAATATCTGGGGTTTGTCTCTCTAACTGCACCTATCAAGGCTCTAATAATTGTTTATAGTAATTATCTTCTGTTGATCTGTCTCTTGGGTAATCTGTGAGCTTCTTGAAGGCAAGGATGGCACCTTGACCGTTTCATCCTCCAGCCCAATGCTATGTACAAAGCAGACACTCAGCATCCAACTCTGATGCCATCTCACTGGCCCCTATGCTGTTTGCCATTGGGTTGATCCAATTCATGGTGATCCCAAGTGTATCAGAGTAGAACCACACTTCATGGAGTTTTCAGTGGCTGTGCTCTTTCAGAAGTAGACTGCCAGGACTTTCTTCTGAGGCACCACTGAAGGATTTGAACAGCTAACCTTTTGGTTGGTGGCTGAGTGCTTCACCATTTACACCACCCAGCAACTCTGATAGGGCCCTTCTAACCTGGAACAACAGAACCTGTGAGCAAGCAGGCAGAAACTGAACACTTAGTTACATCATCCCTATAAAGGGCAGATGGGGAGCAGTTAGAGTTCCCATGGCCCAGATGCAGCAACAGAGACACACACAAGCTAGAGATCCAGTTCCACCAACTCTTCCATCTGGCTGTCATTGGTAGATCCAACTCTAGTTCCATAGTTTCAGTTACCACAACCACAACTTCTTCATCTAACTCAATCTTAGGGTGGAAAGGTTCCAACTCTGTGGCCTTACTCACCTTTATCAGGCTTGATAGGGATGGGAGGAATTGTTGAGTGGGTGACTGTGGATGTGCTGGGAGTGGAGGCTGTAAGAGTCTGGAAGGATGTTGTTGAAAGTGACATTGTTGTGCTTCTCTCACTGTTTGTCCTTAGTGAGGTTGTCATCATTCCTGGGCATGTAAGGAGAGAAGACAGGAGACAGTTTTTTGGTCAAAGAGATGAAAAGAATTCAAGAGCTGAAAGAAACAGCAATAAATCCTCTTCTTTGTCCTGTGATTGAAGGACTGGGTCACAACCAAATCACTTCCTACAGATAGTTTTCTGCCAGGACAGAGGGGATAGAAAGGCTGTCATTCTTACTCTCAATCACATATGAATTCTTGGGGACTTGACCTTATTCCTGTCCTAGTCACACTGTTTAAGTAATTCACTGTCCATTCTCAAACACATTCTGGAGTTCCCACATACCTGGCATTTCAGTCTTCACAGTGGAGCCTGAGAAAGCTGCAGGTGATGGATAAGTGCTGACATCAGGCAGAGCAGTGGTATGACCTGTGAATGCAGAGGTGGAGCTCCAACTGACTGTAGGACCAGGGGCTGATTGAGAGAATGAAGAATTGCAGAAACTTGATATAGTCTGAGTGTGCTTACTTAACTAAAGGAAGTAGATTCTGAGAAACCATAGTTTGTGGGTGACTGTGAGGTACAAATGGGTACTTAGAATATTTAGATGCTTAAAAAATTCAGGAGGAGGCGGGGCAAGATGGCGGACTAGGCAGAAGGATTGCACAGACCCTCTTCAACAAAGAAAAGGGAAACCAATTAACACAGACACAGA